TAGGATGCTTATTGGAAGGGACCAATCTTGGATTGCTCTATCAGATGATTGTATGATGTTGCTCTGCTGTGAATATGTTGATGAGGAGAACTAGAACTTAAGCTAGTGCATTGTTATTAGGCTCTGTTGAGAAATTTGCTTATGCAGATCATGATTCAGTGTAGTTTATGAATTCTCATTCCCAGTGATTTTGATTTTTCGTGTTGAGAATCCGAGGCTTAGATTGAGTGTTGATTGCTCGGAAAAAGGAAAACCTTTAACTATGCTTGCTCATTGGTTTTATGTAAAGGTTCAAGAAGCAATTGAGTGAGAAATCTTGTTCACTCCATTTACGGCGAAAAAAAAAACAAAAGAAATCATTGATTTACACTCTAATCATCGTCTTCAGAGGTAAAATCTATAGGTTAATCAGAGCATACCTCATATCTATTACTATTCAAAAAGTCAATACTTATTAAATTAAAAGAAAAAATCAACCTCATATCTATTACTATTCAAAAAGCCAATACTTATTAAATTAAAAAAAAAATTCAAATCCATGTTGACAAGTCAAAATCTATTTTTCTAACTCATATTTATTGTAATGCAAATTGGCATTGGTATCTATTGTGCGATTGAGTTAACCATTTTCAAAATGATATCAATCTTGAATATAATGAAACTATTATAATGAAGTTTGTGGTTTATTATTCGTACGTCATATGTTATAAAGATTATATTAATTTTAATTTCTTGAATTTTACTTGGTCATAAAAGAAACCCGATGATCCACATATCAATGAATAAACTAAAAGTAACACTATGATAAATTTCACCACTTGTTTTCCTGTATTCAATATAATAAGAATTGTTTAAATTTTCGAAATTAGAAGATTGACATTTGAATCTAGAGAAAACTTTTGTTACAAATAGCATTCTACCTATGGAAGTCAAAATAGATATCATTTTGAATTGGCTAAAAACAATTGAATCCCTTTCTAATCAACACAATTGAAAAAAAAAAAAAAAAAAAGGTCTTTCTTGAACTTGAGATTGGAAAAAGTTGAGCATCCATTGGGGGAAAGGAGGATGCAATTTAAATAGTAACCCAATCTAAAAGGAATATTCCTAATAGTGATCTTAAAAGAGAAGACTCATGTTTAAAGTCTTCCCTTTGTTTATTTGTTGATAAGACTTTGGAACAGTTGTCTCTCCTTTGACCTATCAGCTATGGCCCATGGGCTCTACTTCATTTTCAAATATACATCATGCATATGCTTCTTTGACTCCTTATGAAGCCCCTCTTTCAAAGTGTATGAATTTTATTTTGATGCATGTATAATGACTTGAAAGAATTATCGAATTCGTGACCCAAGAAAGTTGAAATAAATAACACACCGATGTGATGCTGGCTATACACGTTTCGATGCAAGCTAGAATTGAGGTTTGAGTGATACTCATCTAAAAATAGGATTTTTCAATCTATCTTGATTAGAAGTTTTAAGACGTGAAATTCTAAAGTCATTAGGATATCTTTCATTTTTCGTATTTGTTGGAATCCTTTATCATGATGGGCCCACTCTACAACACCAAGAAGATTATCGAGAAAAACGAGTCCAAGCCGGCCCATGAAGGATGGCCAGGCAGACCAATTGACTCATGGTGGCCAATCATGTGTGGTTGGTTCTACATTGAATTTGAAAGTCAGCATAACATAATGAAGTTGAGCTCTGTAACAAGGTTGGAAATATGCCTTTAATCGTTGGAAATTTTAAAAATTTTATATTTACTATTTTATTTTATGATGTCATTTTGCTCCATTAACTTGATTAGTCAATTCTTCCTAATAAATAGGAAGAAGTCACTGCGACTTGTTAAAAACTCTAATGAGTGTTTCCTTAATAAAAGATGTAGCATATGAAATTCTAAGACAGAGTTGTGTTCCAGCAGAGTTTTCCACAGGTTGTTTCGGTAAAATACAAAGAATTTGATTTTGAATTTTATGATTTTGAGTATACAAACAATTAGGTATTCACGAGGTAACTTAGCTACTACACAAAGTCTCTTAAAGGATTGTTGTATCTTCGAATGCCAAATAACTGGTGACACATATTCTCTATGAACAACGTTTACAAACATACTTCAATTCAAAATCTACAGACTTTTCTTATCTCTATTATGTGTTGTTATTTAATTAAATTAAAAGTTTGCATTTATTATTTTAGAAATTTCATTTCCCTAATATATTTCCTGGACCTTTAATCTAATTAACTAAATCTGGAGGCATGTGAAACCTACTTTACCCCCTTCGACTTATTGTTTAGTTGCTGTTAGTTGAATGTCTTGCTTCACCCTTCCCTTTCAGTACTTCAAATTTAGGAGATGGAGAGAAAATTTTCTCTTCTTCATCCTTCGCACCACCTGTAATGCTATAAAATACTTATATTCCTATTTAGTCATATCACTATTTGTATATGAAAGGAAAGGAAATTATGGGGAGTAGTTGATATTGTAATTGGTTTGTCGCACATAACCCTCCAAAGAAGCAAGATTGAGAAATGCTCTAACTTTTCTTAAAGATGGGCTGTTTTGTCAATTTGTAGAGAGAGTGAGGAATTATTCTTTTATATATACATATATAGGGTAATAATGTCAAATGTCTACTTATTTGAGTTATTTATACCTAATTGAATTAGGTAGGTTGGATCAAAATATTAATAATCTTCGTCGTGAGAGGTAGGTTTGAATCTCTACTTTTAGTAGGTTGAACTTAGGTGTTTTTTATTTATTATTTTTATTTTGGATTCGACAAAGTGATTATTTAACCGTCTGAAGATATGAGCTCATAGAAAATAATACTTTAAAGATCATGTTGCTATTTGTTTAAAATTCAATTTCAAAGATATTATTTGATGAGTCGAAGCATGAAAGTTTTCAAAACATTAGAGATACAATATGTATGTGTGTGATGGAACCATAAGTGAAAGTAGGCAGAATTAAAATATGTCAGATGACCTTAGGAAGGTTATAGCTAAGCCATCTTGTGCAACCATCATAACCATGTTACTAATGGAGAAGTGAGATCTGTTGGATTTTTAATGTGCCAAAGAAAGTGAATTTTAAATAAATTTATTTACATATAGCTTATAAATATATCTCTTTAAAGTTTGCGAAGATTTAATTACATAACAATTTCTTTATTTATTACCTATGTCATTTTTATTTCATTTTTTGATGTCATGTAACTTCAAATAAGTTAAAGATACAAATATCAAATATGTTAAAGTTACATATTTGTTAAAGTGGAAGTTATTTTTTTAACGGAGAATTTTTTCTTCATTTTGTTAAAGTTGAAGCTAATTCATGTTGAGGAGTTTCGTATTTGTATAACTGTATATAGTTGTTGTTTTCTTCATTTGAGATATCCAAACATATCCTGATTGAGTATTCTTCTCCTCTCACAAGTATCTAAAAGTTCTACCAGACCGAGTAGTTCGAGGTTGCTGTTATATTGGAGTTTGTCGTTGTATCCTGCTGAGATGATCGCAATAGTCTGCAAGCAACTTGTGCAGAGCGAAAAATTGTTTTCAGGTAAGCACTATTAAAGCGTGTCTCAACTATATTTCATAAAGTTGTTGCGTTCATCAAGTTGTCAAGATTTGTAATTGTTTGTAGCTAGTTATGTTGTAAATTTTTTGCCAACATAGTATATTTACCCAACAAGACCTACAAGTGCTCCACCTATAAATGGAATTCATTTCTCGTACATTTTTAAGGTATCCAATTATGATTCCACGAACCAAGAGTTAAAAGATCATATTCGTACTAACATGAGCGTTGGAATATTTATTCTTTTTGCGTAAGTCATTTCTCACATACCTTGCTCCAAATAGCTCAGTCTCACATGAATACCTCGTGCTCATGAGATAAGGTTAGAATTTGGCACAAGTAATATAAGATCAGTTTGAGCATAATTGAACTGATTAAGGTACTATTAACCTTTTTTAGTCATAGATTCGAATCCCACCCATAAAAATTAGATACTATTTTTTTTCCTTCTTAAGACCAAAAAAGAAAAAAAAAAGGAAAGGAAGTATATATATATATCTTTTTTCCAAACTCGATGTCGTGTGGCTTACACAAGTAGATCTCTAATATCAAAGCTCGTTTTTTGGACTAAGCAACACTGTGACAAAGTCAAACACAGGAAGCCATGAGATGAAGTTTCTCAGCCCAATTAAAAAGAAGTCGTAAGATGGGCTCAGGTCACATGCAACAGCCCAATTAAACCTTATGGGCCTGTCCATGTTGAGAAAGGCCCCAACTAAGAGCCCTCCGGAAAGGCGCTTCTACATAAATGTGAATGCACTAAGAAAAATAATTACAAATGTATTACTTTTCAAAAATGTAATTACAAACACAACATTTAAAATAAATTTTAAATCATTGATCATGTTAGTGTAAGTTCATAAAATTCCTTAAAGAATATTGGGTTCCTTGTAGAAAAAAATTATATGTTGCAATATTGTTTTTTAATTATTTTTATAAATAAATACTTGATTATGTTACGTTTTTTTTAATATATATTCTTTTAAAATATTAATCTTATCAAATATTTAATATTTAATATTAATAAATTAGTAAAGAGTAAATAATAATATATCATAATTGAAAATATTGAAAGTTTCAAACATCCTTTGTAATTAATTTAGGACCCAGCATAGCTTCAATTTGACATAAATTTTTGTTATCTATAAAATTATCATGTTTAAAAGTATAATTCAACGAGCCAAAAATTTGAGGATTAAATTTATTATCTTAGTAGTTTATGAGATGATTTTGTTCTTTTATTTTGTCTTTTCTTGTTCTTTTAATATTTTAATTGAATTCTTAGACTTGTTTATGTTTAGTTGGTATAATAATCTAACACTAGTTGGACAATTATAATAGAGTACAAAACTAACAATTATAGTCTAATCCTCATTTATCACGCCCTTCCTAAAGTTAATTCAACCCCTAATTGTATTTTTTTTGGTTAATTTAGTAATCTTACATTTAACTATTTAGATTGTGTCACATTATTTAAATTTGATCTAATGGAATGTCACGTCACCATTCCGCCAAACTAAAAAAAAATGGTACCTAACAAAAAAATACTTTTTTTTAATTTGTTTTGTTGAACCTTCCTTAAAGAACGATAACATTCTAACTTTTATCTAGAGATGAATTATGGACCAACAATGCTCTTGAATAAATATGATTGATCGAATGAAATAAAGCAGTTTGATAAGACCGTATCATAATAGACTCAACTTCTCTATAC